GATGGTTTCTTTGGAGGTACAAAATCTGTTAAGTTTGGTGAGTCCATTTGTTCATTCTGTTTCCATTGCTCATGGGTTGGATTCCAAATATATCTTTGTGGTAGATGGTCTGTAGTGTCTCCCCTATAGTTTCTTTCAAGTACCTTATGGTTTTGGGTCTTATATCCAAATCTTAAATTCACTTTGAACTTTTGTGTATGGAGTTAAGTATGGGTATTGTTTCATCTTTTTTAGACCACATCTTCTTAATCCATTCAACTATTTGTGGACATTTGGGTTGTTTCCATGTCGTAGCTACTGTAAATAATACTGCATAATCAGAGGAGAGCAGGTTTCCTTTCAAATTAATGTTTTTGTGCTCTTTGGGTAGGTTCCTAGGAGTGGAATTTTTGGATCCATCATAGTGGATTTATTTTAATGTTCTGAGGAACCTCCACACAGCTCTCCACAATGGCTGGAACAGTTGGCATCCCCACCAGAGCTTAAGAAATACCCTTTTTACAACATTCATACCAGCATTTGTTGTTTTTGTTTGTTTGTTTTTAACATGGGCTATTCTCACAGTTGTGAAGCAGTATTCATTATGGTATTGATCTGCATTTCCCTGATAATAAGTGCTGTTGAACATTTTTCATAGGCTTGTTGGCAGTGATGTCATTTTTTTTGAGTTTGGGGTTCTTGGGTTCACTCTGGGAAAGGTTTTACCAGAGCTTCCCTTTCAGCAGCACACAGTGAGATTCTTCACTAGGCATAGACTCAGTTATATTTAAAGAGTAAGTTTATTAGAAAGAGACAGGAGAGGAAAAGACACTTGCATAGGCGCAAGTGGGTAGGAAGAGCTGCCTAGCTGCCTTGCAGAGGGAGAGAGCAGGTGGGAAGAAGCACCTGCATAGTCACAGGTGGGCGGTGACAGCACAGATGCCCTGTGCTGGTGCAGAGACTCCCCTGACATAGGCAGTTTCTCCTTGAGAGGACTGGAGATTTCCCAATGAGCTTTGAGTCCATGTCCTTATCTTTTACCTTTCGGGTCTGAGCTTCAGGCACAGCCCCCAACGGTCTGTTATCTGCCAGGACCTCTTGGAGACATCCAGGCATCCGGGCATCCTGGACATTGGGCTTTGGTGCCTGAGGACCTTGATGTTCTGGCTGTGTCAGTTGCTGCACTAGCTCCTTGTATCTATCCCCTCTGTGTGACACAGTCTTGTGATGCCTCCCCTGCATTTCTTCCTCCTTCACCCCTCCTGACCATATCCGGCCAAAATCTTTTGGGGAGCTGAAGGAAGAAGGTTCATTTTCTGTAGCTGCATCCCGCTGGCGTGGGATGTAGAGCTGGCCCTACCTGCAAGGGCCCTGGATATGGTCTCCCTAACTCTAGTCCCTGAGCTTTGTTCTGATTTTGGAAGGAGGCATACTGAGTCCAAAGGATGGAGTGTCTGGGCTGTCTGGTCTTGTAGGAATAGTTGATTGGCGGCTCCTAAGTGAGAAAAAAACAAATTTGACAGTGAGCTTAAGGATGCAAGGATTAGAAGTATAGTAACAATAGGTCCCAGGAAGGGCAACATGCATGATAGAGTCCCACTGAAGTGTTCATTACAGGGTACAAAATTTTTCCCAAGTCTGTTTGCTTGATCTTGGAGTTTTCTTATATCAGCCATCAGGAGTCCACTCAGATTAACATAGTAGCAACATTTTCCTGTAAAAGACACATGCTCCCCCTTGGGCAGCTGTAAGTAGATCCAGTTGTTATTTTGGCTAAAGCATATGGCAACGAAGTACCTGAACGGTCAGGAGAATCCCCACTAAGTTATTTTAACTAATACAGTAGGAAAGAATAGACAGACATCAAGAAGGATGTAAAAGACATGGCAACCCAATTAGGAGCTGGATTGCCCCTCATTCCTTTTTGGTTGGTCATTTGGTCACTGCCGGGTTTATGGTCTTCAGTCCCATTTTTGTCTTTTGATGAGGTATTTCAGGCCCTGGACTGCTTTGTAGGAACACTGCCACATCTCCCACGATGCCTGTGGAGGAACCTGACAGACCATCTTCATGTGGGATAAATGCGACCAGCTGGAATGTCCAGGTTGTTTTACAAGCTGTGGGAGTACTTCAGATGACTTTAAATTGTTCCGTCCACTTTGGGTTCAACTGGTCTCCCTCATGAGTTTTTTTTCTTTTTTTTTTAAGATTTATTTATTTGTGCTTACGGAACTGGGGTATAGGCCAGAGACTCAGGGGTGGCGAAAGACTTCACCAGAGACAGAGTGGGGAGCAGAACAGGCAGATCGACGAAGTACACTGCTGAGGGGAGCAGCGGGCAGGTCAGGAGAGGTCTGCTGCGCCATGTGGTCACCTCCGGGGGAGGCAGGAATCGAACTCATGCGGAAGTGGCTTTAGCTTCTTAGTGCAGTGCTTTAACCCGCTGTGCCACCAAGGAGGGCCAGTTTTTAAGTTTTTTAAGGAGGGTCCAGCCACCGGCTCCACAGTTGTCAGACAACTAGTCTTGTGAGTCAGATAGAGGGAATCTTTTATTTCCACATTTGACCAAGGACCTGTGGGCCAGTCCTAAGTTAAAAGACAGTTATATTTAGGGTCACATACTAAGACGAAAGGCCTTCCATGTCATTTTAGAAGAACTGAGCTGTAGACCTTTTCTGGAGCTATGCATGTCCCCAGAAGGCCCATAGGAAGTATAGCCAAACACTTTTCCTTGTTTTTTTTTTTACAAAGTTTACTTAAATGTCTTTCTAGTATGCTTTGTCAAGCTGAGTTTTATGTTTCTTTTTTTTTCATGTACTCCTATTACCTTTGTGGAGAAGATGGGTAAGTATAGAGTAAGTGGCCCCCAGATCAATAAGAGAATTAATATTTATCAGCAACATCAGAGTTACCCTAGGCTCAGCCAAGGAGATGGTCAGCTGGGGAGCTGGCGTCCTCCTTTGGCCCTGTCACTCATCATCCAGGAGTCCTCATCGTGGTCCAGGGGCCTCATTGTCCAGGAGGCCTCACCATCGTTGCCCAGGTGCCAGGCTGGCAGCTGAGGGGCTGGTCCCTCCTCCCATCAGAGAAGGGGGCAATCCCTTTTTCAGTGGCCTTTCTTTCTGCACCTGGGGTGCAGTCTGGGTAGGTTTCTGGGTTGAGTGCAGTTCATGTTTTAGTGTCCAGCCTTGTAGCAATTTTGTCACAGGGCTGCTGGGGCTCCTCTTGTGTTTCCTTCAGGCAGGTCTGTGAGCCCCGGAGAGCCTGAGTCTGCAGGGCGCTGGCAATGGCAGCATTTATTTTATTGGGCCTGACTTTTCTCACTCACCACAGCCTTTCTTCACTTTTAACCTTTTTCTAAGCTCCCTATTAAAGGATTTAAAAAGCCACTTATAAAGGCTGGTATGGCAGAGTTTTGGATCCCATGGCTATTTTTTTTTTGGAGTTTTTTTGAATATCTGGTATAGACTGACTAATAAAATGAGTTCCCACAATTACCTCACCCTTTTTTGTATTTGGGTTGAGGTTTGTGAACTTCCCAATAGCTTTTGCTAGTCACCCTTGAAAGAGAGCTTCGTCTTTACCAGGCTCCTGAGTGAGTTCCCTGATCTTTATATAATTTACAGGCTTGGATACACACTTTTTAATATTTTCTTTTATAAGACTAGTGATTATATGATCTCTTTTAGTTAAATTTTCCTGTCCTCCCTGACAGTTTCAACAAGACTCATTGTTGGTAACTGCAGCATTCCCCACATCATACTGGTTTGGCTTTCTGCTTGTCAATCCATCAGCAAATCATTGACTTTTAGCCCACATTTTCTGCTTTCCTCTCACAGTACAACAGGTAGAGAGAATATGAATAGCCTGCCATGTTAGCTCAAATGCTAGAGCAAGGGCCTGAAACTCATCTGAAAATCTGCCAAATCTGTGTTGACACTGTATTAGGTCAGTCATAGAGAAAGGTACATAGATTTTAAATTTTCCCATTGAGTCCCCATTGGCTGCCTCTCAGAGTGGACAGAGTCTAGGCATGGTACTTTTTGGGGATTGTAAGAATACCCACTCTTAGTGTGCCCAGCAGGACTTAATTCTGCCAGTGGCATGATCCTCTATGAGGATGGCGACTACAGAAGGTTTGAGAGTGCCTGAGGTTCAGGGTTAACGGGAGACACGGGTGTACTGGACTAAGGGGGTCTGGCCAGTAAAGGGTCCTTTAAGTTATTTGTAGAATCCTCCTCTTTTGGACTTACAGAGTCTGTTTTGGCCAGGAACAGTTGACATGCTTTAAATTTGAATCCTGTTGCCAGATCATAAAGGCCAAAATGTATGGGACCTCAGTCTATTTATTGTATTTCCTACAATTGTTTCTTGGCCTTTCAGCTTTTAACAATAATGGATTAAAGTGCTTTTTTAAATCTTTGAGGCCTAATTCCTTCCAGTCCAAAGAGACAACCCAGAGCAGAGTCTGCAGGAATAGAGTGAGCAGACCCCATCCCAGGTGGATTCTTGAAAGAGAGGACTAATATAATATAGTGGGGGCAGGCACAGCGTGTCCCCAGTAGTGGGGGCAGCCACAGGCGTGCCCCCGGAGAATGCTCCTATTATTGTGGGTGTCCCCAGCCTGAGGAGAAACTTCCCTGGGCCTGGGCGTCCCCAGGCCCTCCACTTACTATCTGCTACTGCTATTCTCTCTTCTCTGGGTAGAGCGGAAGGCTGTGTCAAAATTTGAAGATATACATATATATATATATTTTTAGAGGTATATGTCCAAGAGGGAAGAACATCTGAAACTGTGCATCTGTGGCTAGTTTTTTGCTGCTGACATTTGTGGAACATTATAGCACCTCCTTCTGTGATGGGAAATTGTCCTATAAACCCGATGTCCCACCAGAATATTATTAGGCATTAGGAAGTCTCATACCTGAGACTATTTATTGGTTTTAGGAGTCCTTTTAAGACAAAGATATTGATATTTTAGGAGTTTAAAGTTTTTTAGGCATGACCACCAGCTCCCGTCCCTGCAGGCCAAAGGGCTGTTCATACAGAGCCAAGCAGAAGGGGGAGATGGGTAAGAGACTGCAAAAGGATTGAGCAAAATGTCAGCACTTTGCTGATACAGATTGAGACTATTACAGATAAGCTCCAGCTTGCCTCTTTCTGCTGTTTGACTCCCCTTTCCTTGGAAAGCAAGAACTTAAACCTGTCAAACAAGGTAGGAGAAATTGCAAGGAAAAACAAGTTTCTGTTAAAGAGATAAGTAGATTTGCTTTCCTGGAAGAGAACCTGATTAAGAGATGTCTTGGTATAGACATTGAAAAAGTAAAACAGGTTAATTACATTTTGGTAAATAACATAAATCTGTTTCAAACACATCTAAACACAGAGAAATAAAACATATAACATTAGAAATTTAAGGCATGCATGCTTTCGGAATCATTACATTTTGAACTTTTTTTTTTCCCCCAAATCTTAGATCACAATCTTTATACTTGTTGTTTTTTTTTTCTTTTCAGAATTTATATAGGTACCAGCTTATGATTGATCCTCCTGAGGTAAAACAAAAGATGAAACAAGAGATCTTTTGAAATAGTGGTCATGTATACCAATTTGTAAGAGAGTTGTTTTACCAGTATTTGTGAAGACACTGAGAAACCTGTTAACTGATTTCATTTTAGTCATTGAGCAACTTTTTGATGACACACACCTTTAACAACTCAATTTTTTTTTTTTAAAGATTTATTTATTTTGTGCATACAGAACTGGAGTACAGGCCAGAGGCGCAGGGG